TGAGCACATTGCTCGCAGCTTTTACAAATTGAGGCTAACTGAGGTACGCTTTCTGATTTAGTTTCCGGTCTCCCTTCCCAAACATTTCTCGTTTCCTTCGTTTATTTGCATCTGGTACCACGTATAAGTCCGCTCGACTATCCACGCAGCAACTCCCACAGTGGTCGACCCAACTCGTGAAAAGGGCAGGCTCGCAAAATCGACATCAGCACATGAACCAAAGCTTTGGAATCGTAATGAACAACTATTGGCGAATGTACAACTCACACCATTTATGAACAGTGCCACTAGTTTATTTAGAAATACCAACTTCTTAAAAAATTGCCAAATGCCACAAACGTGAAAAATCGCTGTACCTGTTACTTATAAATGTAAGTAGAATCGTTGCGTGAAATCGCAAACATGTCAATTGTGTCTACCAAAAGAAATTTTAATTCGTCAACTTTTGTAGATATTTGTGGTATTGAATTACAATTAGTTTCAGATGTCATTTCAAATGTCGGGATGATTTAACGAGTTTCGGCGTTTTCAAGATTTTTCGATAAGTTTAAATTATCTTTGACGTGTTAATCAAAAGCTCCAAAATAAAATATTTCTTATTTATCGCGAAATTGACGATTTTAAATATCAGTACATATAGAGACGGCCCTTTGGGGGATATTTTTAGACTCATCCAAGCACGGAAACTCACTAAAGAGAAAAATAAACGTCCACAACAAAAGTCCGAGCTTAGCATGCCTAAGATAATTTAGAGAACTTTATATAATCAGTTATCAGTGAAACAACAACAGCCTATACGTGCTCGGCCAAGCAGAACTTCACTGATTCTGCATCCCCCCGGACACGTGGCCCACAAGCTAAACGTTCACACCCCCTCTCACTTGCAGCGCCCATCGCAGCAGGATTCGCATCACCCTCATCCCCCCCGCAACCCACCCCTGTTCGATGCAGCCTTTGCCCCCTAAACCCTCTAGTGTTACAATCCCAGTTCCCACTTTTCATTCAGTAGGACGACGAAGACATAGTACCTGCTCGAAAATTCACGAGTACAACTCAATTTTCCAAAGGTCTTTCTTTCAACTCATTATCTCCTTAAAAAGTACTATAGTTGTGTATTCAGCTGACGAATACCTGCGTAAGTTACCCTTTTCCATGACGATGTAAAAGTAAAAAAATAATGCAAAACGGACCGTTATTTTGACCTTGGTCGAAAATGAAAAAAACCCCTCTTTTCTCTGTATTGGAGCGGTTTGCGTCTATTTTTGATTAATTTTAGTCCCTGTTCTAAGGGTGCAAGTTCACCGAAGAGTGGTCGAATGTATACTGAGATTTTGCGAAATCTGTTACTTTTCTGTCTCTTCCGCTTCTATTTTACACATTCTCCAAAATTATATTTTACAAGAAAGTATGATGACGTGCGGTGTCCATCTGCGCGGTAAAGTATGCGTACTTTTGTTTGCAGTCCGTAATCTTCGTCGCGGCAAAACAAAATACGGTCAGATAAGTTCGTGACTGTGTTCTGTTACAAAAAGTTTTAAGACTCGGCAAAAAACAATTTTCAAACTGAAATTGTCCCTCGTTTCTAAAAAATTGCGATTTCACCTACTTGCTTCCACCTGATTTTTAAATTTTCCGGCGGGATTTGTTTAAAAATTCTCTTTTATAGCACGACGCACGAGAACAAAAGGTTCGGTCCGTCCATATTAATTAGCATAGGAAATTTATTCGATAGTCGGCAACCTCCGATTTAGCCAAAATCCTTCAATATAAAGCTAACAATGCAGTTTTTACCAGAACGTTTTCTGAGCGTGAAATCCAATCAACAGATCAAAATAACAATCCAAAATGTACTTTAAACTACTTACTCGGATGTTAACCCTGACATTTCATGAGCTAGTCATTTATGACAGCAATTTTGCTCTTCCCCCTCCGCTTGCCTTGACCGTTGAACTGACTAGCATTCCGTAACAAAGCCTGTCTCTGTATTAAACAGTAACAAAGGCGTATTTGCCCTTTATATTTGACAAAGCACCCGCTACGTACCCCCCCACACACAGGCAATTTCATGGACAGGTGGATTTATGTTCTCCACGGCCTACCACACAGAGTTGGCACGCTTGCACTCCCACACACACATGTGGAAGTGCAGTTTTAAGTGATTTCGAGAAGGCAATTTACACACCAGGGGGTTGCTCAACGAACTCAGTTCTATTCAATTGCTATTTTGAACCACCCTCGAAACCCGTCGTCCGCGACGGCAGTGAGCCGAGGCAGTAGACATATAGATGGATACAGTATTTACAAAATTCTTTTGCTACGCCTCCAGCCACCCATTGGCACCGCTAGCTTCCAAAAACACTCCAGGAGAGGTACTCGCTTGGTAACCGACAGTCAATTCATTAACAGCCTTGATTTCGTCGCAGGTGCTATAAATTGAATGGCATTGGCTACACACTTTGCTCGCTAATATCTTACGCTGAAGAAACGCTCACCCAAGGCATTATCGCGGGGATAGTTGCAGTACTCAGGAAACGTACTAAATTAACATGGGGAAGGTCGTTTTACTTATTGATAGGCCGCAGTTCGTAGTGCCACGACCATTTGATGAACCGAAGTCTTCGCAGAATGTCGATGAAAAATGTGGTTAGGCTTTAGGCTAGTAGCTGTGCTGTCACAGCGTGGTAAGTCAGGCAACATGGCTCAGATAGCTTGCGTGCCATGCAATTTTCATATCTTGTGAGAATTTCGACTCCGTCACAGTTGACGATATGGTCGACTGCTTTAGAGTGCGCGGCGGTTTAAGATTTACCCTCATTCACTCTCCATTGCTGATGTATTTCGGTTGTTTTCACTCACAACAACCCCCCGTTCCTGTTTTTCCGAAGCAATTACTCTTCCCCCGTAACTGCACCAGGTTTGATAAATGCCTCTAGACCTTTTTGCGGTGGATCGTCCAACCGCGTCGGGCTTAGCCTCAGATGGTCGTCTCCGGTTTTGATTTTTTGCGTGTATCGACATTCCCCAGAGGAATACTAAAAAGGTTTAGAGTACTCCTTTTTTTCCTGTATTCGGATCTCCCCCACACCCAGGACGTATATCAACAAATTCCTTATCTGCGTCTCTTTTTCTGCCAAATTTGCCTATCAAACAAATCATGCGGGAAAAATTCACTCCGGTCGCTCCAGTTCAGCCTAGCAATCAAATTTAAGTTAATATTTTA